ATACATGCAATACATGTGGAAATCTAGTAGGCGAGAATGAAAAGTATTTAGCGGATGCATTCCAGCCGTTCATTTAGAAGGTATATAATTGAATGAGATATAATACAAAACTGTCTCTGCGAGAAAATATGATCGGCTCATGTATCAAATAATATTAGAATTATAATAAAATAAGATTGCGTAAACAATGTCCTAATATAGAAAGGTTAGATGATGAAAAGTGTTCCCCACGCCAAGCAGAAATGGTGGACACGAAAGAAATATGCAATGTTTTTTAATATAAAAAGTATTTTTTAGTGTTGACGAGTCAATAGAATTAAAAGTTGAACAGACCAGCCGCAAAAGTCTGCTAACCAACGAAACTTTATTGCGTTCTTGTCTTTCATTTGCCAACTTGTTCGCCTCGCAGACACGCGAAAAGTTCATCCAACATCAAAATTTTCCACTTTCTCACCCCGTCAAGTGGGCCCCAAAAACTCAAGTTTTATACAAACTTTGAATGTCGTGAGCTCTGTAATGACAGTCGTTAAAGCTAAGCTTGTTCGCGCGCCAAAAAATTACTTCGTATTTTATTAAAGAAAAAGGTTTTGAATTTGGGCATGAATAGGAATTAGAGAATTGGACGAATGTTTTGCGCGTCATTGCGATCGTGTAGAGACTGATTGGAATTGTGCCATGTTAACATGTTCCTTCATTAACTCTTAGATAAAATCTAGAAATTTTATATCAACGAATTCGAAGATTTGATTCAGCGTCATCGATGACAGCGTATAAAAATTAACCAATTGAACGAAAAAATTATCATAATAAACTAGTATTAGATCTCATATCCTTTTTTTCACCTAATGAACACAACCGTAACAGTTGTTCTTAACAATGATCGTAATTGTGGATCGTAAATCTCAATGGGTAAGAACGCACCTCCTTGTCATATACTGTATATACTAACCAACAATTACACTAAAAGGTCCCGTTCGTAATCAAGAGACACATCAAGAAAGAACTTTCTGTCGTAATCCATCCCGTGTCCGATATGAGCATTTCAGAGGCAAGGTTGATGTCTGTTGGTTGCCTAAAGGGACTTCTTTTTTCCCAACAATACAGCGCGTAGCTTATTTTCAGAGAAATATGTGAGACTTCTTCCAAAAATCAATGCACTTTTTGCCTTGTGTGGGGTTTCCTAATCAAGTTTGGCCCGGCAAAAAGGTGCATCAGTGCTACAATCGTGCTATGGGTAAGAAAGTATGTCAATATTTTACGACATGACCCAGATATTTTTCTGAGCGAAGCGTCGCTCCTGACGGTTGAATCTTTACGAGACCATTTCCCGCCTCAAGTTTTAATTATTCTCGCGGGTTCGAGTACTGAAGGTGGAAGAATTCATACAAGTTCAGTCGTAATCCACGGCAAGCATCTGTTCTAAGTTTGAACTGTGTAAAGTTCAGCAGCGATAATTTCAACATTTTAAATCGAAAAATTATACTGCTCGAGCAAATAACAACTAAGTAATTTGAGATTAGACTAGCACAATAAATTAAATCGATTCATTTTCATTTATGAAAAATGTTAAGAATATTCTCAATGTACTTTACTTTCACCTCAAATGCCCAGTAGTAAAGCAAAAACATGTAAAATATGTGCATGCGCGAAGAAAAGATAATTTTGTATACAATCATTACGACAAATAATCTCGATCTTAATCACATCAAATGAACAATGGAAAAATATTTACATCACAAATGAAAAATAACATTAAAAACAAGGTTTTATACATAATTGATAACAAGATCTCAGACCAGATACGTCAACTGGACTGAATGCTTATAACAACCCATGCGTAGAACAACCCATGCGTAGAACAACCCATGCGTAGAACAACCCATGCGTAGAACAACCCATGCGTAGAACAACCCATGCGTAGAACAACCCATGCGTAGAACAACCCATGCGTAGAACAACCCATGCGTAGAACAACCCATGCGTAGAACAACCCATGCGTAGAACAACCCATGCGTAGAACAACCCATGCGTAGAACAACCCATGCGTAGAACAACCCATGCGTAGAACAACCCATGCGTAGAACAACCCATGCGTAGAACAACCCATGCGTAGAACAACCCATGCGTAGAACAACCCATGCGTAGAACAACCCATGCGTAGAACAACCCATGCGTAGAACAACTCATGCGTAGAACAACTCATGCGTAGAACAACCCATGCGTAGAACAACCCATGCGTAAAACAACGTAACCATGCGTAGAACAACCCATTGCACCGATGACGTCACGCATGCAAATTAGTTGTTCATTACCCGAGAATCAATGAGCGTCGAATGAACAACGAAGCGTTCCCCAAACCGCGATTAGCAATTTTAATAAAAAAAACCTGGACGTCCATCGAAATATAAGGCGTTTTAAGTGATTTTTTATTTTTACTTACACATATAATCACAGTATGTCGTATGTATACAGAATGAATTTTATAATTGTATTAAGAAACTAAGCCTAAATTGATATGCTGTCCAATGAAACGTTTAAATGTGAAGAAGATTGCGACTCCAAAATTAACAATCTCTTTGTGCCGGTGGAGCATTCCGTGAAAATGCAGCATCAATCGTTCCGTAAGTAACTGAGCAGACTAATTGTAACTAATTAATTGCCACTGGGTTGTAAACGGCCAGCCTCGAAAATAATTCGATAGTTTTCAACTTGGATGAAAAGTTTTGTGCTGAGCGGATTTCCGGAAAAAAAATCCCATTAAGAAAGATCGATCGCCCGCGATTAATTCTATTGTAAGGGTAATTAACATTCAGGCTCGACATGATCGAAGATTCGGGGTAATTTATTCATCCGGGGTAACTTCGTCATGATAAGCTGATGAGAAAACCTGAGTTGAAAACCTAGTTTTATTTTAAAGTTTTTAAAACACACCGAGGAATAGAAATGGATTACGATACGTTAAATATGAGGTACTTAATAGTGGACTGATGCTATGGAACTGAATACTGAAATTAATTAAACAAATGGAAACAGTCCCGCAATGAGCAATGAAGATCAGCATGGATAAAAGCAGAGTACCTAGAAGACGAACTAAGTCATAAAAGTCAATGGAACAAGATGATAATGATAATGACCCATAAACATTATGGCCATCATGAAAAAAAACATTTTTCAGATAAAAATGAAAAGGGAAGAAAACCGAAATACAGGAGGACAGTCAAGCGGGAAGACCTGCAGAAGACAACACTCAGGAAGGACGGTAGGAAGAAGCGTAGGAAGACGCGACGTCCTGGCGACGTCCTGTCAACACAGCAACCCGGAGCACGGGTCAGGTTGCGGCTCCCGGTGGCCATCTAGACTCTAGAGCTGCCATCTAGACTCTAGAGCTGCCATCTAGACTCTAGAGCGGCCATCTAGACTCTAGAGCTGCCATCTAGACTCTAGAGCGGCCATCTAGACTCCCGGCCAGCAATTAGGAGCTCTAGGGCGGCCATCTAGACTCTAGAGCGGCCATCTAGACCCCTCTGTAGCTGGGCGCTCTAGAGCGGCCATCTAGACTCCCCTGTAGCTGGGAGCTCTAGAGCGGCCATCTAGACTCCCCTGTAGCTGGGCGCTCTAGAGCGGCCATCTAGACTCCCCTGTAGCTGGGCGCTCTAGGGCGGCCATCTAGACTCCCCTGCAGCTGGGCGCTCTAGGGCGGCCATCTAGACTCCTCTGTAGCTGGGCGCTCTAGAGCGGCCATCTAGACCCCTCTGCAGCTGGGCGCTCTAGAGCAGCCATCTAGACTCCCCTGTAGCTGGGCGCTCTAGAGCGGCCATCTAGACTCCCCTGCAGCTGGGCGCTCTAGAGCAGCCATCTAGACTCCTCTGTAGCTGGGCGCTCTAGGGCGGCCATCTAGACTCCTCTGTAGCTGGGCGCTCTAGGGCGGCCATCTAGATTCCCCAGCATATAGGAGCTTTAGGGCGGCCATCTAGAGCTCGAGGCTCCTTCTGGAAATTGCAAGCGGGGCTTAGGCCGGCGACACAAATTGCCTTTGTGTGAAATTTATCGGTGCATAAATTGATTTTATTTGTGAAAAAACAACGTAGAAGCCATTTACTATTGGCAAAACACTAGATACAGTATATAAATTATTCTACTTTTTAGATATCATTACAATCGAAATACCGTTATGCGAGATTACATCTTTGGTCAAACATTTGACTTGCAAAGATGCCATTTCAAAGGAGTATCAGATCAAACGAAACATTTTATGAAACATTTTATTTTATTTATGTCAGTTTTCATCATACCGTTCGACCAGCAGTCCGCAGACGATGTAACTCAAGTTCAATCTTCCATCGAATCTTCGGCAAGTCTCAGACGACTGCCATCGCTGGCGAGATATTTTAGAGGTATGATAGATAAACTAGAATAATGACTTGGCTGACTAGAAGAATGACTTGGTAGACTAGAAGAATGACTTGGTAGGCTAGAAGAATGACTTGGTAGACTAGAAGAATGACTTGGTAGGCTAGAAGAATGACTTGATAGGTTAGAATAATGAATAAGCAGATTAGATGAATGACTCGACACACTAGAACAATGACTAGGCCGACTATAAGTTCATACACAATTTCAATTTTACAAAACCAAACCATGAATTGTTTGTTGCGAGATGCATTTCTCATGAGTGTGAGAAATGCATTTCATTTCTCTACGGCACGTCAACTGAACAGGTGTAGTATAACTCTGGTGTTCTATGGCACAACTGAACAGGTGTAGTCTAACTCTCGTGTTCAACAGGTGTAGTATAACTCTCGTGTTCTATGGCACAACTGAACAGGTGTAGTATAACTCTCGTGTCCTATGGCACAACTGAACAGGTGTAGTATAACTCTCGTGTTCTATGGCACAACTGAACATGTGTAGTATAACTCTCGTGTTCTATGGCACAACTGAACAGGTGTAGTATAACTCTAGTGTTCTATGGCACAACTGAACCTGTCTCTTATACACATCTAGATGTGTATAAGAGACAGGTGTGGAGGATGTGTAGGGGAGTGTGGAGGATGTGAGGGGAGTGTGGAGGATGTGAGGAGAGTGTGGAGGATGTGAGGGGAGTGTGGAGAATGTGAGGGGAGTGTGGAGGATGTGAGAGGAGTGTGGAGGATGTGAGGGGAGTGTGGAGGATGTGTAGGGGAGTGTGGAGGGTGTGAGGGGAGTGTGGAGTATGTGAGAGGAGTGTGGAGGATGTGAGGGGAGTGTGGAGTATGTGTGGGGAATGCGGAGGATGTGAGAGGAGTGTGGATGATGTGTAGGGGAGTGTGGAGGATGTGTAGGGGAGTGTGGAGGATGTGAGGGGAGTGTGGAGGATGTGAGGGGAGTGTGGAGGATGTGAGGGGAGTGTGGAGGATGTGAGGGGAAATTGAAGGATGTGAAGGAGGTCGTGTGATGGGAGTGTGGGGGATATGAGGCAAGTCGTGCGAGGGGAATGTGAGGGGACTGCGAGGGGACTGCGGGGGAAGAGCGAAATTCAAGCGGATCACCTGGTGGAGATGGACTGGAAAGATCATCTTTAGAGATCGGGTCAGAAAAAATTGAGTATTTCTCTAAATTCCAACAGAAATAACGTCTCGTTTTGGCGAACAGTTTTCTATTTAAAGACATTATACTGAGAACATGGGAGGTATAATGGCGATAGTTTTTATCAATGGGAATTCAATATCCCCGTTGTTGCGACATAAAGGACGGGTTAGCGGCCACGGCGAGTATTGAGCTCGAGCGAAGCTAAGATATAGAGAACAATAATAAAAGACGTTAAGACGGGAAGAATGAGAGTTGGAGACATTAAGACATCACGAATAAGAGAACAATAATAAAAGACGTTAAGACGGGAAGAATGAGAGTTGGAGACATTAAGACATCAAGAATAAGAGAACAATAATAAGAGACGTTAAGACGGGAAGAATGAGAGTTGAAGACATAAAGACATCAAGAATAAGAGAACAATAATAAGAGACGTTAAGACGGGAAGAATGAGAGTTGAAGACATAAAGACATCAAGAATAATAGAACGATAATAAGAGGCGTTAATTAAAACGGTATGAATGAGAGTTGGAGACATAAAGAAATCAAGAATAATAATAGAAATAAAGACGTTTAGAATAGGCGTTTTGCAGCTTATTCGAACTGCCGGCGGTATGCGCTCAATATTGTTGATGCGAATACTACGGGATGATGCGAAATTTAGCGTTTTTAGTATCGTAAAAAAGTTTAATAATAATAGATGACTTGGTGTTCCTTCGGCCGATTTTCGACCGATATAAGTAAAAGTCACTTGATTTTAACATAATATAAATATTCATACTTATATGTTGAAAATTGACATCTGCTATTCAAGTTCCCTTTTTCCCTTCAGGCGAATTACTTCAAGAGCTTGAAGACATTTTCTGCCGCAGTTACGGCGGTTTTTTTAGTCACGTATGGCGGTTATTTTAGTCACGTATGGCGGTAATTTTAGTCACGTATGGCGGTTATTTTAGTCACGTATGGCGGTTATTTTAGTCGCGTATGACGGATATTTTAGTCGCGTATGGCGGTTATTTTAGTCGCGTATGGCGGATATTTTAGTCACGTATGGCGGTAATTTTAGTCGCGTATGGCGGATATTTTAGTCGCGTATGGCGGATATTTTAGTCACGTATGGCGGTTATTTTAGTCACGTATGGCGGTAATTTTAGTCGCGTATGGCGTTTATTTACTAAGCACTAGCGGCGCAAAACAAGACTGTAGGTCAGCACGCAGTTCACGGCTGCGGTGCAATAACGGCGTTGTTTTGCTTCTCAGGGAAATAGCACAAAATAAAAGCAATGGGGCAAAATAAGGGATATGGCACAAAAAACCACTGGCACAAAATTAAAGCAATGGGACAAAATAAAAGCTTTCTCCTATTAAAACGAACTCAACGACACAGCCTCTCTTCGTAGGTCAGTTACTTGCAGCGTCGACCACTTTTGCCTTCAGTGAGCCTTCAGAACCTCATATTAAATACATTATAATATTAAATAAGCACAAGCGATAATTCAAAAAAAATTCACCGATTTTGTACACCTAATTCATTGATGGAATCTAATTTATGTATAACTTTCTGACTTTCGTAAGTACAGCGTGGCCAGACGAAGTGGTAAGTGGTACTTAATAAGTGGTGCTTAATTAATACTCCCACATAAGTGGCACTAATAAGTGTTACTTAATTAATACTCCCTCATAAGTGGCACTAATAAGTGGTACTTAATAATACTTAAAAGTGGTACTTGATAAATGCTCCCACATAAGTGGTACTCAATACTCCCACATAAGTAGTACTTATTAAGTGGTACTCACAAGTGGTACTCAATACTCCCAAATTCGTGGTACTCAATACTCCCACCAGGTGTGATATATGCAGCCACAGATTCGATATGTCATGTTCAGTACTACAGTTACTGAACATTTTCCTACGTAGAAGTAGGCAAGTCCTAGGTGGATAGAGATTAGTCCCAGTTCACGGGTTGCGACTGGTGCGACAGCACGGTGCCCGAACTGTTTTGGTAAATATCTATTGATTTATCTTGGACATTTATTACTATTACTTATTATTGCTATTATTTTAGAATATTTTTGTTGAAATATTGATGGTTTTTTTCAAGATTTTATAGCATTCTATTTTTTGTGTAGTTAACGTTTGTTCATTTGTATGTTAATTTGTTTACAAAAACCGTTTGCGGTATTTTCAATGAATGACAAAATTCGAGAAGTATTTGACATCCTGTGACGTGTTTATTCATCGTTTATGACTGAAATGAATATGAAAGACGGTGAATAAATAACTGATATTGCAGAGATCCTCTTTAAAATATAAAACTATCAATATAAGACTACCACTATAAAACACTATCAGGATAGCCCGACGTTTCCCTCGCTTGATAATTCCTGCAATTTCACAATCATGTTTTTCCTAATCTCGTCATTACTGCAATCCCAAATTCCAATACCAATAAAGAAATTTGTGGATTATAATTAAATAAAGACCTCTTCAGACCTACACCTTAAAAAGAATATATCCACTTCCATTTTATTCTGGTTTCAAAACATGCAAAAAAATGATTTCGCGTCGCACAAACCCAATTTGTGCTTCAAATTGAAAATCTAAATTTCAATTTTTGATCCAACCCTTTCCTCCCCTCCCTCCCTTTCTCGTATTGTTGTAAGAGGAGATAAATAATTTGTTATTAGCACGAGATAAAACTTGCATATACCAAAATCTGAGTAAATTTAAAAAACTTGTTTTTTTTCTAACTGAAAAAAAGATTAAAGTTAAGTAAATTCTGGTATTGAAGACCGCAGACTTTTAACACTCAAGTATAGTGATTGTCAAAATTTATTCCATTTACGTATATACATTAAATTTGAAACCACCAAATTAATCGTGTTATAATTTCTTCCGTCTTACATCCATCTTAATGAACTAATACATACAACAGTTTCATTTCATTATTCATCGATTTATTATTATTAATATTCATCATTTCATTATATTCATCGCAACACTTTCATTTCATTATTGATTTAAATTTAACTAATTTCAGCATTCAATTTAATTTAATTAACATTTCAACTAATTTCAACATTTCAAATAATATCTTTAGAAGATGATAGAGAGAGCAGTGCATCCCGCACCACACGCCATGTTCTATGTTGAACACAACAACTTATAACAGATAACATGAAAATGAGTTATTCCATAGGAATAAACTGTGGTCCAGCACACTCAAAGAAATGAGTGAGAAATTATAAATATCAACGCAGTTTTTGCGTAGCATGGATCATCCTGACCCAGTTTGTCCAGGTAAGAGAACAACGCATCGCAGTTATACGTCCGCGCATTCTACTCAAGTTGTATGTAAAAATGCGTCTCACTCATTAAACCCATTTATTTGAATGAGTATATTAGTTTATTATAAGAATTATTAATTATATATACCCACACCCCAGCCTATCATAAAAATTTACCCGAGCCTCTTCGCTTTCAAGTATAATTATTTGAATTTTTTCAAACAATTAATTACAACGTATATCTGGATTGCATGCCTAAGCAGCCGATTTGTTATGTCATCTAACTTCGACGATTAAAATTACATGCTCGGTGGCAAGGGCTAACGTATTCTGTACCGCTGCTGACGGTGGCAGGGCTAACGTATTCTGTACCGCTGCTGACATTAAATGTAATCGGTGCAATCCACTACTGCAAGAAATACCAGCTGAGGTGTCCACGCAAACCATTAATTAATGTAACACAACTAAATAAACGCAGTCTACAAGTACTAAGAATTTTTCGTCAGATATTTCTGAAACCAAAATCAGATACACAAAATTATACACAAAAAAAAATAAGATAAATATCTCTTCATTGAAAAAGACGGAGCGCGGAACAAACAAGTTGGGCAGCCGCGGCTTCGGCGTTGATGGCTGCCGCGCACGTCACGCATTCGGACGCGGGCGTCGCGTGCACAAATGTCGCCGCAAATGAAAGCTCTCCACGACTAATTTTTGGAGATGTGCTTTTAAAAGCATCTATTGGTTTTTATTTCAAATGCAGTTATTCTAATGTGATATATTATCATACGCAATCCCCTGAATCACATTACGTGCGTAATGTGGCTTCAAACGTAATAATTATATAATAATTACGTGCACTATTACGTACACTATATAATTATGATATTTACGTGCACTTATTTCGTGTGTCTGCGTACCACCAACTGGGCAGCGTGGCAGGCGATACACCCAACATTGATTGCTGCCCTGGCTACACTGTGCAGTGTAGCTAGGGCTGTGTAGCTAGGGCAGTGTAGCTAGGGCAGTGTAGCTAGGGCAGTGTAGCCTTTGTTAATGCTGTGCAGTGTAGCTATTGTTTATGCTGCGCTATACTCTCATTCACCGATGTCATCTTAAATAATCAAACTCCATCGCATTGCTGTTATCCCACAAAAATCCTCCAAACTCCACGTATTTGCTGCAGAATTTCGCCCTGCAAGTTAGCCAAGGCACAAGCTAGCGGCGCGAAGAACACAAAGAAGGAACGGACCTGTTTGCTCGGTAATGGCCGTCCGTTTTCCGCTCATCTCGGCAATTACGGAAACGCCGAGCGCAGAATGACGGTACCGGCATGCGGAGCTGTTAGAAAACCTGCATTTGAGCATGCACGCGGTGAATGTAGGTGGATGAATGTGGTGAATGCATCGGATATGGTGGATGTAGATTGATTTATGCAGCGGATGCATGTAGTGACAGACTAGACGAAGCTATGAAGGAGCATATGTTGTCTTAAAATGCCTAGCAACTTGCGGACCGGACAATAAGTCCAGCAGCTATCTCAATCAATCGTCAGCTATAGAAAGATCGGGTTCCAAAGGCCGGATCCCTTTTGAATCAAGTCACGAAAAGTTCAAGAATCGGCAACAGGCCATGGGCCTATTTCTTCAATGCCTACACTTTTATTCTATTCTATTCTAATGAAGTATGTGGATGCAAG